TATCGAGATACAAAGCGAGATCATCCACCGGATTGCTCTAGTTACCAAATCTAATGAAGAACACCAAGAGAACTCGTGGTGGCTGATCCTATGATAAAACTACTCTTAATATTTCGGCATATCCCTAACAAAAGGCTAAAAACAAGTATATATAGACTTAGGTTCTTCTAGGGTTCACTTTGGGCAAATCGGTCTTTTACGTCAAAATCCTCTCCAAGTCGGTTTGGCAATGTCGGCCAAGTAACACGACCYGTATTGGGTRRAAAGTGCCTWGATTTGTGCCAGKATCGGRCTYGAATATCGMTCCACGAGGTGGTCCGGTACTTGGGTCGATTCTGCACTTGCTTCACTTTTGAGGCAGCTTGACGTGTCTTCAGTAAATCCAGTTTATCTTCCTGTTCACAGCTCCAATTGAGATGATTCAAACTTCATTGTAAAGCTGACTCAAAGATCTATCTTCACACCAAGTTTCGTCAAATTTCAAATTGATTTGATCCTCCGTTCACTGCTGAACTTCTGGCGTATGCATTCTGTCCAATTTGGTAGAATGTTGATTCTTGTGAATTCTTGGTTTTTGATGGTGTCTTTGGCTTGTGTAAGTTGCTGTAGCTTGGTTTACACCTATTTTGGCTCTTTAAGATCATTTTTGCTTGATTTCCCTGTAAAGACTCTAAAACTACAAATACGAGAAAAACTACTTTTAAAGGTATAAAACCGTAGATAAATGCTTAGAAAATATAGTAAAATAGATGGTAATATAGGTAAAATATGGGACATATCATTAATTCCAAATATTAAAGTGTGGTGAATTATTATGTTTTTTTATTCATAATTTGTGGTGAAGGATTTCTTTCGAGAGTTTGGTTAGGAGATGATTGACAACTTTAACATTCTAACAACATTAAAATTCTTAACATCACGAATTAATTTTCTCACGCAATTTTTTTGGTAAATGTAATGATTCTTTTTATTAAAAACTTTTGTGACCTTTTTTTTTTAAATAGTAATTACCTATCAAAAGTTTTAAATGTTTTTTATAGTATATTGTTGTGTTTAATAAATAAATTTATATTTTTAAAACCGTTAAAAGTTCACAATAACACATTTAATTTGGAATTATAATTTTTGGTGGATATAAAAAAAAATAATGGTTAAAGTACTATTGGCTTTTCACACCATTTTTTTTTGTCAATGTAGCGATTCTTTTTATTAAAGCATACGCTGTAATTTTTATTACTGATAAATCTATTTTTTTCGCATACAACATTGTATATGTCTAACAATTTGTTCCAAATCTTTAATCTTCTAACCTAGTTAATTATTTACTACAACAACAATTTTTTGTAATATTAAATACACAAATAATCAATAAACTATAATTATTGCATATTTTATCATATTAATTTTGAAATTTACACAACACGGACAATCTTTAGTAGTTAATATATTAGGTTTTTGTGTCTTTTCTTATTTTCTGATTTATAAAACAAATTAAAACATTATGGCGTTTTCGTTCAATAAGTGTAAATGATAATTAAAAAAAAAAGACATATTGGTGAGAAAAAGGCAAAATATGATGAACCTTGCTATGTGTGTTGGTGATGATACTAATGCAACATAAGTTTCTCATGGTAAACAAGTATTAACTCGAAATCCGAAAGAACAATCTCGTAAACTTATATTGTTGATTTGGTAATGACATGTCAATGGGCCTTTAACCTTCTCCGACCAAAGCAAATAGAAAGATAAGTAAAAGAGAGAGAAAAAGTCTTAAAAAATGGCAAAAAGGACAGAGGAGGGCCAAGCATATCCATCTCTCGCCCACTTTGCTAATACG